ATTATGTAAACAAAAACTTTTATTTTGGATGCGATTAATCGCGATTAATCGTTTGACAGGACTAATATATATATATATATATATATATATATATAAAAATAAATCATGTGATTTAGCCTAACACAGGATATCATAGAGACTTGGGGTTATTGTATTTTATTTTATTTATTTTATTTATTTATTTGACTTTTTTTATTTGCTGATAATTTTTTTTTTACTTTATTTGTATTTGTTTGTTTGTTTGCAAATTATTTATGAAATATTTTAGTTTTTCGTATATATTTTTTATGTTATTCCATATTATTTAACTTATAACACAGCTAAGCTGCAAACAAATCTTAATGCACAATTATTTTCATACCAAATGAAAACTGAAAGTAGATTTGGAGAGGGGAAAAATGGCAAAAAGGCACTAAATAGAATTGCACTGAAGGACGGCCCGAGCACTATCTAGCTTTAGGATATAGAGACTTGGAGGTGGGCTCTTTTTACTTGTTCCAACAACTTTACCATCACGCCAGTGTTGCACTGCATGGGCAAGCACCACTCAAATCAATTTCTTTTTACTTCGAAATTATCTGAGATCATTATAATCTCTGTGCCAGCTCTCTGGCATTCATTTAAAAAAGCCGACACTTCAGCAGGGTTAACAGTGACGTAATAAGTGACTTTTCAGAGCCATTCCCGATGTCTCAAAGAGTCGGCGCGTGTGGGAAACAAGACGTGCTCTCAAGCATGCTGTTAAACTGAGTGTTACGTGTCGTGCTATTAAAATCAACCTTGAGCAGATTATACAACACTTTCATCTCATTCTGATCGCTCTCCCTCTCTCTCGTTCTCAGGTTATGTGTTCTGCATGTTGCACCGGTTGCCGGAGCAACACGACTGTATGTTTGACCATCTGGGCCGCGGCCGAGAGGAAGCTGTGCTGAAGATGGTGAAACTGGACCGCAAGGTGGGCCGAACCTGCCAGCGCATCGGAGAGGAGTGCTCTTGAACGCCCCCCCTGCACACACGCACGCACACACATACACACACACACACACACTCTCTCTCTCCCTCTCACACACACACACTCATCGGCCCCTACGGACTGACCAATGTCACCTAACAGACGCGCAAAACCCCACAGGGCTCAAATCTGACACTGCGGATAGAGAAACCAGACGAGCGAGCGAGAGAGAGAGAGAGAGATGAATTGTTGTGCTGGAACAGCCAGGTGGTTCCTGTCAGCACTAGTTTAAGCATGAATGGACATAAAGACTCATCCTCAGTGAAGAGCCAAATACACACACACACACATTTACTTAACCTAAATGATGACTTACACTACTGGTCAAAAGTTTGAAATAATGACAATTTATTTAATGTCTCTTATGCTCACCACAGCTTCAACTGTTTCAGTAAAGATACGGTAATATTGTGAAATATTATTACAATTTAAAATAACTGTGAATAGCCTACTATGTGAATATATTGTAAACTGTAATTTATTTCTGTGATGCGCAGCTGGATTTTCAGCATCATTACTCCAGTCTTTAGTGATCTTCAGAAATCATTATAATATGCTGATTTGCTGCTCAAGAAACATTTCTGATTATTATCAATGTTGAAAACAGTTGTGCTGCACAATATTTTTGTGGAAACCGTGATACGTTTTATTTTTCAGGATTCTGCATTATGGAGGGATGGTGTTCAGCTCTGGTGGGAACGAGGAAGGCGGAGTCTCAATTTACCTGCGCTTTTTTGTTTTGTTTAAAAAAAATTTTTTTTATTATTATTATTACTTTGATTTGTTTTCTGTTGAGATGTTGACATGGACAGAACTGAAAGAGATGAATATTGTGTATCTTAAGAAAAATCCTTATTTAATCTCCTTTGTGTTTCTGGTTAATTCTCACTCTAAGCATAGAGCTGCATTACTTTGCCCTTTTTAGGTTAACATAAAAAAAACATACATAAAACGAAGATATGGATAAGATAAAATTCTGTAGCCTTTCTTTTTTGTTCGTCTTCCTTTTTTTTTCCTTTCCTCTTTTGCTGAAAAAGAATAAAACTGGATTAGAGGATGTGTGGTATGCTTTAATTTAAAAAAAAATTTTTTTTTTTTTACTATATTAAGAGTGTTTTTCATTTACATAAACAGAGTTTGTGCAAAAACATGTAGCTGTAGAATGAAATATGCGAAGAACTCATAAATATACTAATACACTACCAAGTTTGGGGTCAATATAGTTTTTTTTTTAATGTTTTGGAATGAAATTTCTTATGCTCACCAAGGCTGCATTTATTGGATTAAAAATACAGTAAAGACAGTAATATTGTAAAATAGTTTTACAATTTAAAATAACCACTTTCTATTTTAATGTAATGTAAAATGTAATTTATTCCTGTAATGCAAAGCTGAATTTTTTCAGTATCATTACTCCAGTCTATATTTACATGATCCTTCAGAAATCATTCTAATATGCGGATTTGCTGCTCAAGAAACATTTATCATAAATGATGAAAAGAGTTGCAATGCTTAATATTTTTGTGAAAACGAATGATCTTTTTTTAAGGATGTCCTTGTACTGTAATGTTGTTTTACTTATGTAAAGCACTTTGAGATGTAACATTGAAAGGCGCTATAGAAAATAAGATTATAATTAATATAATGAATAGAAAGTTCAAAAGAACAGCTTTTATTAGAAATAGAAGTAACATTGTAATTGTTTTTACTGTCACTTTTGATTAATTTAATGCATCTTTGCTGAACATAACTAGCAATTTCTTCCTCTTCTTTGAAAAATATCTTAACTGACCCTAAATATTTGAGTGTGTGGTGAAGCTGTACTTAAATATAAATGCCAAAGAGGCTGCTGGGTAAACCAACTTTCTTCAATAAAGGTTTTAGCCATAATAAATAATTGCAACGGACCTTTTATGTGCAGAAGATACTAAAAGAAAAAGACAGAGCTTGAACATGCATGCAGGTCCAAAAAGTAAACAGAGCCTGATTTGGAACGGGGCCTACAACAATTCTCATATTTTTAATGCGGTTAAAAAGAAAAATGTCAACCAGCATAAGCCAAACATGAATTCCTTTGACAAATAGGTTAGCTGTAAAAGCTGGAAGCACAACCGCAGGACAGACAGAAATTAGCGGGCTGGAGGAATGGCTTCATAAATTCCCCTGGATGGAATGAACACCTGTGACCCAGTTTCCACAAAACCTGCATCATGAGCCCCGCAAATATGGGTCTGACGGCGACCATTCATAAAGCGCTGCTGTTTAAGGTCAGTGATGTGTAACCTGTGGTGGAGAAGCTCTGATCCTGGATCCCATGAGCACAGCAGAGGCTACGGTGAGCTGGAAGCTTTAAGAACTCATAATGGCTGTGTCTGAAACCAAAGGCGGCTATCTTACTGCCAAGGCAGCCAGTGACTTAAAGGCAGGGTATGTGATTTTTCAAAAACACTAGAAAACTGATTCGGGCCGAATAGCAAAACAAACTTGTAGCCAATCAGCAATAAGGGGCGTGTCTACTCGTGATGTGGAGGAGAGAGCTTTCAGTGCATGGGACGGACATTAGCCGAGCCGAGCGACAGAAAGATAGAGATGGCGGATAAAAAACAAAAGAGGAAAACGTCTGCGGAACGATAAGGCAAGAAGTAGGACCCGTGTAAATATCGGATCAGCTTTCCAGCGCTGGAGAGAACTCAAGGAGCGGAGGCCTGCGATCCTTCATATCTCCAAAAAGTCTTTAGTTTTATCATATTTATAAAAGAAAGATACAACTTTACGATTCTCTCCGGAAAAAGCAGAGCTCCTGGAGGCATGCCGTGGGCGGAGCTAAAGAGTGACGAGCACTTGGGCGCGGAATGCCAACAAACAGACATTTGATGCCGTTTCAATTACCATCTGCAGTTCTGAATCATGACCAGGATCTTTTATAGCTGGGACCGCTCCATCTTTCAGTATCAAACGATGTGCAAATCCAGCGTCGAACTGGGCATTGTTTATAAAACGTTCGTCAACAAACACACTTGTGAAACTCCATTGCCAAACCAAAAACACACTTCTTTGGATTGGAGACATTCTTCCCGATCAAGTCCCTTGCAGCGTTGCGCCTGATGGGCGCGATCTCGCTCTTGCTCTGGTCGATGCGTGCGTGGGCGCATTCTTCCGGGAGAAATGCCCTTGACTTGGATAAATGTCTTAATTATACTGAATTCACCCTATGTTTGATAAACCGTTACCTCACAAATTAGATTCACCTACAACATGAAAAGCATCTATTTTTAAATGCGTTAAATATCTGTATGCCCTTTTCAACTGTATATAATTAAATTAATGCAATGTCAGTGTGTGTTAATATGATTGTAAAAAGCAACATTTCTTTTTTATTCACTAATTAATTTTTTTAATTACAAAATAACACATAACAGGGGTTTTAAACTATTTAGACATATTTACCTGCATTTTGGTGACAGGCCTGCAAACCGCAAAATTATATATATATATGTATATATATATTAAAATAAAACCCAAATCATTCTAATATGCTGATATCATTCTAGGCTGACTTGGTGCCCCTTATTATCAATTATCCAGTTATTATTGATGCTTTAATTAATAATTTATTCAATTAATAATCTTGTTATCAATGTTTCAACATTAATAATAATTAATAACTACAAATATTTTTGCAACAAATCAGCATATTAGAATGATTTCTGACACTGAAGACTGGAGTAATGATGCTGAAAATTCAGCTTTGCATCACAGGAATAAATTATATTTTAAAATATATTCAAATAGAAAACGTTTATTTTAAATTGCAATAATATTTCACAATATTCCTGTATTTTTTGATAAAAAAAAGCAGACATTATAATATGTTGTGTGTTTATGGAAAGTGGCAAGCAGTTGTCAGTCGTGTTGTGATGGATGTAAGGTAAGCAGATGATGAGTGTTCAATCTTCTCAGACATCAGTCTCACAGCTCTGTGTCAGCAAAGAATTAATAACTACAAATATTTTTGCAACAAATCAGCATATTAGAATGATTTCTGACACTGAAGAATGGAGTAATGATGCTGAAAATTCAGCTTTGCATCACAGGAATAAATTATATTTTAAAATATATTCAAATAGAAAACATTTATTTTAAATTGCAATAATATTTCACAATATTCCTGTATTTTTTGATAAAAAAAAAAGCAGACATTATAATATGTTGTGTGTTTATGGAAAGTGGCAAGCAGTTGTCAGTCGTGTTGTGATGGATGTAAGGTAAGCAGATGATGAGTGTTCAATCTTCTCAGACATCAGTCTCACAGCTCTGTGTCAGCAAAGACAGGGAGCTCTAATCAAATAGCACCTTCAGATGCAGCGCGGCCAGCCGGTGTGCTGAGACTCAAACAGGGCCACTGCAGCACTGGCAGCCACTCCAAAGGCAGATGGGCAGATCAATCAAATAAATGGAGACAAAATATTCCTCATAAACAGAGACTTTTGATAAATATGTGGCATACCTTGCCGATTCAATCAAACGAAGGCACTGCATACTGTGCAGAGTTCAGCATTTACTGAACAAATAAAGATGGAGCTTGTACTCAGTGTGATCAGGTCATGTCATGTGTTCTTATATGTATATGGGTGAATTTGAAAATTTTGCACATTTATTTTGTACCGTATTACATTTTAACATGGAAAAACTTTTTTAATTAATTTATTTTTACTACATTTTATTTAAATCCTGTTACTTTATTTTTACATTCTTAAATGAAAAAAAAAACAAACACAAAAACTTTTAACTAAAACCAGCCACTTCCTTGATGACATCATCCAGGAAGTGACATCACTTTAGAGGGAACTGATGAAATCAACCGCACAAACTTTAGTAAGTATTAGCAGTGGATTTGATGAATGGCTGGCATTTTGTGGTATGTGTTAGTTTGTCTCACATCTTGTTGGATAAAATTGAAGAAATCATTTTGATGTTCATTTCAGGATGATTAAAACAAAAAATAAATGATCTTTAAGTTGACACACTCATGTAAAACAGCTGTCAACCCCTCACTGAGAAAC